TGCCCCACCCCGCTGCACCCTCCCCGGCCCCAGCTCACAACTCCCTCCTAGACCCTGCACCTCCCCTCCTCCCAGGCCTGCACCCCGATCCCCTGCCCCAGGTCACCCCCCTTCACTCCCGCTCCGACCCCCCACCTCCTGCACCCCAGTCCCATACCCCGAGCTCCCTTCTGTACCCGCCCTCCCTCCCACACCCCACACCCCTCCATAGAAAAGTGCGGCCCTCGCCCACTGACCGAAGCCTTGGAATGGGGCTGCCCATTAGCAATTATTGCCCGTCCCTGTTCTTGCTAATCCCAAAGGATCGGACTCCATCCCTCCTCCGAGCATGTTTCACATCTGGCGCCAAACGCAGGCTCCTGGCTAGACCTTCATTGGTAACTCTGAGCACGAGGAAGCAAAGGAACAAGAAAGCGCCAATGGCTTTCCCACTGACCGAAGCCTTGGAATGGGGCTGCCCATTAGCAATTATTGCCCGTCCCTGTTCTTGCTAATCCCAAAGGATCGGACTCCATCCCTCCTCCGAGCATGTTTCACATCTGGCGCCAAACGCAGGCTCCTGGCTAGACCTTCATTGGTAACTCTGAGCACGAGGAAGCAAAGGAACAAGAAAGCGCCAATGGCTTTCCCTGGTCACAGCTAGTTTATAAATGTCTCTCTGGGATCGAGCCGATGGACTATAGCCCTAGAGACAGCTCCGGGGCAGAGCGACTTCCCTGGTAATCCAGGCGTCTGCCTGGAGACCTTGGTCCTACAGCCCGGTTAAAATGTAAGTGGCTCTGAGACAACAGGGTCAGGCCCGAAGGTTCCTTTGCAGCTGAAGGGTTTTGAGAGATGAGGACGGTTCCATTATTCCACCGCGGATCAGATTTTCTCTCTGAATTGCTAGCAAACAGCGAGGGAACATTAGGGGACAGGTATGGGAGGCAGCATATACATGCTAACTCGAGCCTGCCGGTTGTTGTCAGGAGACAGAGACACATTTAGCAATGGCCCTTTGAGTCTCCATCAATGCAGGCAAATGGGCGAAAGGTTTGAGGCTATGCAACATGACTCCAATACCCGTCTACCAGAAACGGCCCTGTTCACCATGACTGTGCCCTTTCGAAACGTCCTTAACGTCGTCTTCCGCATCAGCCATATCACTGCTGACTGTTCAACCTTCGCTGGTCCAGCACAGCATCCGCACAATTGTCTGCCCCCCAAATCTTCCCCCCCAGACAACTTATTCCCCCCTGAGATCTGCCCCGAGATCTGCCCCCACAGAGCCCAGCACTAATGCTGCTTTCTTTTTTCTTTCTTTCTCTCTTTTTTTCTTTCTTTCCTTGAAGAAGAGGAGCAGGCCGAGGAGGAGGAAGGTGAGACGGATGCAGCATGCACCCTGTGTCACAGAGACCCCCCCTTCTTCCTTCTAGGTCATCAGAAGCAGAGACCTCCCAGCCCCAGCTATTCTCTGGAACAAGCAACTTGATGGGAGCAGCGGCTAAGGGTAGAATGGGGGGCTGGGAGCCAGGACTCCTGGGTTCTTGCCCAGCCTCTGGGAGTGGAACGGGGTGTAGTGGGTGGAGCCAGGACTCCTGGGTTCTGTTCCCATCACGTTAGCTCTCTTGTCCATGTTAATTTTTCTCTTCACAGGCGCCTTCCCCTCTGGTTTGTCGGCTGAAGGGTTTTCTCTTCCCCGCGTGGCTGGAGGGGGGCGGGAGGGGAGCAGCCGTGGGGAGTTCAGCCAGGGTGGGGGCAGTGTGGAGGATGCCTGTGGTAGAGCCAGGCATGTTCCTGACCTGGCCTCCCCCACCCCGGCACCGCCTCACTGCAGGGCCCCTCTCCCTCCCCCCCCCGCACCAC